TAAAAGATGATTGCTCCTTGAAAGGAAAGATATGACAAACCTAGAAAGCATATTAAAACCAAACATCACTCTGTTGACAGAGATTCATATGTTCAGGGCTATAGTTTTTCCATTAGTCATATAAGGATGCCAGATTTGGACCATAAAAAAGGCTGTGCTAAACTGCTTTCAGTCATGTCTCACTCTTGGCAACACGGTGAACTGTAGCCTTCCCGGCTTCTCTGTCCATGGGATTTTCCAGGCAAGAATATGGGAGTGGGTTGCCATTTCCTCCTCTATGGTATCTCCCCAACTCAGGGATCGAACCTGTATATCTTACATCTCCTGCATTGGCAGGCAGATTCTTTACTACTAGCGCCACCTGGGAAGCCCTAAAAAAGGCTGAGCACTGAAGAATTGCTTTCGACTTGTGGTGTTGGAGGAGACTCTTGAGAGTCCCTTGGACAGCAAGATCAAACCAGTCAATCCTAAAGGAAAATCAACTCTGAATATTCATTGCTGAAGCTGAAACTCCTCAATACTTTGGCTGCTTGAAGGGAAGAGCTGACTCTTTGGAAAATACTCTGATACTGGGAAAGATTGAAGGCAAAAGGAGAAAGGGATGACAGAGGATGAGATGGTTAGATAGCATCACTGACCCAATGGAAATGAATTTGAGCCAATTCCAGGAAATAGGACAGGATAGAGGAGCCTGGTGTACTGCAGCCCATGGGGTCACAGAGTCAGACGTGACTTAGTGACTGATCACCACCACCACCTCCTTTGTCTCTGACAAACCATCTGTCTGTTCTCTGTATCTGTGAGCTTGCTGGTTGTTCATTTATTTATTTATTTGTTTGTTTGTTTTTCTTTTAGGTACCACACACAAGTGAGATCATATAATATTTAACTTTTGCCTGTCTTACTTATTTTACTTCTCATAGTGGTCTTAAGGCCCATGCACACGTTGTTGTAAATGGCAAGATACCATACTTTCTTTTTTTTTTTTAAAGAGTTTGTTAACAAGATTTTATTATTTTTTTCTAACTCACCAATTACTTAGTAAACTAGTAAGAGTTTTTTTTTTTCTTTTTTTTCCCCTTTATTTTTATATGGAATTTAGAAAGATGGTAACAAGAACCCTATATGCAAGACAGAAAAAGACACAGATGTATAGAACAGACTTTTGGACTCTATGGGAGAAGTCAAGGGTGGGATGATCTAAGAGAATAGCATTGAAACGTATATTTTCAAGTGTGAAACAGATCACCAGTCCAGGTTGGATGCATGAGACAAGTGCTCGGGGCTGGTGCACTGGGATGACCCAGAGGGATGGGATGGTGAGGGTGGTGGGAGGGGGTTCAGGATGGGGAACACATGTAAATCCATGGCTGATTCATGTCAATGTATGGCAAAAACCACTACAATAGTGTAAAGTAATTAGCCTCCAACTAATAAAGATAGCGTACTTTCTTTATGACTAACATTCCAGTGTACATATATCCCACTTTTTCTTTGTTCATTTATTTATCCTTGGATGTGAACACCCTTGTTATTCTCTGCCTTTCTATACATCCTCACCAACATTTATTATCTCTTGTTTTTCTGATAATACTCTTCATTGTGGTTTTGATTTGTGTTTCTCTCATGGTTAATGCCTTTGAGTACCTTTTCATGTACCTTTGGGGTGTCTATTTTGCATCTTCTTCAGAAAAAAATATATGTGTTCATATTTTCTGCCTGTATTTGAAATGAATTGTTTCTTTGCTATTGAGTTGTATGAGTTACTTATATTTTGTATATTAACCCCTTATCAGATATATGATTTGCAGATATTCTCTGCTAGTTTGGTAGATTTCCTTTTCTTTTTTTTTTTGATAGTTTTCCTTTGTTGCTGTACAGAAGCTTTGTAGTTTGGTGTAGTCCCACTTGTTAATATTTGCTTTTGTTGTTAATATTTGCTTTGGTTGTCTTTGCTTTTGATGTCAAATTTTTTAAAAAGTCCTTAAGGTAGCCTCTACTAAGAGCATATATTGCTCTTTTTTCCAGTTGCTATTCCCATCCTTTACATATTGCTTTTCTTGGTATATTATCATCAGTATAAGGATACATCACTTCTCTACTGGATTGTCCTACAGTTTGCTTTTATCTTGTCCAACTTCTGTAGTCTTCACTTATTTGGTCAGCTTCCCCAGTGCTTCAGTGTTCTGTATACTCTTCTTCCAAATTCCCTCAATTAAATAATTTTATTTCTACAAGTTAGCTCTTTTGTTTTACTCCTCTAAAATAATTAATAGCGCTTTTCATCTTTGGTTCACAAAATAGGTCAAAATTCTAACAGATTTGTTAAATTTCACTCTAAAAAGGTGTTAAAAACCCAAATGTTGGGATTGACATATACACTTTGCTATATTTAAAATAGATAACTAATAAGGACTTACTGTATAGCACAGGAAACTCTTCTCAATGCTCCATAATGACCTATTGGGAAGACTGTATTAAAAAAAAGTGGACGTGTAGCAGGAAGTAATACAACATTTTAAATCAACTATACTACAATAATTTTTTAAATAGCATCTTAAAAAATATTAGCTGTTAAACATGTTGACCATTTATGATTTTACTGACATACATATTAAAGTATTTATTTTACAATACTAAAGCAACCAGTGAAGGAGGCAATTACATGAATTTTATATTGCCGGTAGTTAACTCATATTTATTAAAATGTCTTTAAAAGAATTTTTTGTTTCAATTTCCTGTTATAATTGTCACTTATTCTTTAGTACATTAGGAATTGAAATAGAGTCTTTGATTTAGGTATGTTTTAGTTTGCCTGTTACCTCTATCTTGTATGAATCTGTGAATTATAAAAGCGATTAAATTAGGGAACATTGAGATGAGAGATAATGTTCTACACCCCATTTAATTGAGAAGATAGCGAAAGATCTGATCCAAAATAGTGACATTTTCTTAGTTTATTTCTAATATTCAAATATATAGACATATATACATTCAAAAAGTAAAGGTACCATCCATAGTGACATACACACAGTTTTCATTTTTCATACTGCTCCTGTCTTCTGGCATGCTAATAATGAACAATCTGCATCCAGGTTCAAGTTAGTAAGACTCTTTCAGTAGTGGTTCAGAAAACTGTAGATAACTGGCTAAATTTGTCCTGACATGTTTGATCTGCACTCAGTTCAGTTCAGTCGCTTAGTTGTGTCTGACTCTTTGTGACCCCATGGATTGAAGCACTCCAGGCCTCTCGTCCATCACCAGCTCCAGGAGCTTGCTCAGACTGATGACCATCGAGTCGGTGACGCCATCCAACCATCTCATCCTCTGTCGTCCCCTTCTCCTCCTACCTTCAATCTTTCCCAGCATCAGGGTTTTTTCCAGTGAGTCAGTTATTTGCATCACGTGGCCAAAGTATTAGAGTTTCAGCTTCAACATCAGTCCTTTCAGTGAACATTCAGGACTGATTTCCTTTAGAATTGACTGACTTGGTATCCTCACAGTCCAAGGGACTCTCAAGAGTCTTCTCCAACACCACAGTTCTAATGAGATGGATGAAACTGGAGCCCATTATACAGAGCGAAGTAAGCCAGAAAGATAAAGACCATTACAGTACAACTAACACATATATATGGAATTTAGAAAGATGGTAACGATAACCCTATGTGCAAAACAGAAAAAGAGACTCCTATGTATAGAACAGACTTGTGGACTCTGGGAGAAGGCGAGGGTGGGATGTTTCAAGAGAACAGCATTGAAACACGTATATTATCTAGGGTGAAACAGTTCACCAGCCCAGGTTGGGTGCATGAGACAAGTGCTCGGGCCTGGTGCACTGGGAAGACCCAGAGGGATTGGGTGGAGAGGGAGGTGGGAGGGGGGACTGGGATGGGGAATACATGTAAAAAAAAAAAAAAAGATACACTATGGTTGTGATAAAAAAAAAAATAAATAAATAAAAACAAAAGCATCCATTCTTCAGCGCTCAGCCTTCTTTATGGTCCAACTCTCACATGCATACATAACTACTGGAAAAACCATAGCTTTGACTAGACCTCTGTTGGCAAAGTTATGTCTCTGCTTTTAGTATGCTGTCTAGGTTTGTCATAGCTTTTCTTCTAAGGAGCAAGTGTCTTTTAATTTCATGGCTGAAGTCACAATCTGCAGTGATTTTGGAGCCCGTGAAAAGAAAGTCTGTCACTGTTTGCATTGTTTCCGCATTTATTTGCCATATAGTGATGGGATACTAATATGTGATTTTTGCAAATGTTAAATTTATTTATCATTGTCAGTTTCATACACCTGCAGAGAAATTTTAACTGTTTCTAATAATACTTTTATTATTGCAGTTAGTACATCTTTATTTCTTGTCCTTCATTTCAAGTGGTAACATGACCTTTTCTTCTGGGTTTTGACATGGCTATTGTGATTTTTTGTGGAATAGCATCAATATCACTATCTCGATACACTTTTTGTAATAAAGACATATTTTTGTGAATAAACTTTCTTTAGTCTCAACTGATAGCCTTGTTTCTATATTAATAGTCCTTGTGCCGGGCACTGTTTACTTCTATACATGCTTTTGAAAGTGTTAACAAGAAAAATTTAAATTTATGTTATGAATTATTGAAGTAAAAGCCTATTTACATTTAATACCATCTGACCCTATACTATCTTAATAAAATTATTTTATATATAGTCAAAATTTTAGTAAAAATGATAACATGAAGATTTGAGTGTGTTTATTAGCATAATAAACTGTAACTCATAGAACTGAGGTGAGAATAACAGAATAATGCCACTGACAAGTACCCAGCACATGGAAATGTCACAACAAATCACTTATCTTAAATTTTTCTGTGTTTTAAAACTTGAGATTTTTATTATGTTTCATTTAAACCACTACAATATTGTAAAGTAATTAACCTCCAACTAATAAAAATAAATGAAAAAAAAATAATAATAATAAAGAGTGTTTAACTTAAGTTTTATTTTTTCAGAGCACCTTCAAGTTTAAGTCTGAAAGTGATATTCATTTAGCAGAACATCATAAACAGGTTCTGTATGATGGGAAACTTGCAAGTAGTATTGCATTTACATATAATGCTAAAGCCACTGATGCTCAACTATGCCTGGAATCATCACCAAAGGAAAACGCATCGATCTTTGTGCATTCCCCACATGCTCTTATGCTCCAGGTGGGTGAATAGTAGCTTAGTCTTAATGTTCTCATCAATACTGTGTCTTTATTTTACATTTTATACGTTGCTCACCTGTAAATATCCAGTTGCTTTTTGTTTTTCTTTTTTGGTCTTCTAGTTCTTTGAATGGTGTTTTTGCCTTCTGCATTTTATATGGCAAATTGTCTCCTTAATAGGAAATCTGTCTTTTCTGTTGTATTATATGTTTCTTATCCTTTGAAATAAAATCAGTGAATTTGTAAATAGCTAAATGTAAATATAAAAATACTTTGGTATAAGAATGTGTAACTCCTTAACATAAAAAGTACTTGAGTGCTTTTATATCTATTAATAGCATCTCTTATTTTAAAATATATTTTGATTTAGACACTCATATTTTCAGTGTAAAAATCTCTCAACTTAAGCTTTAAATTTAAGTGATTATCAAAATATTTCAAACTGTTATTTTAAATGTGTATAAAATTATATAATTTTTATTTAAAATTTTAAAAATAGATTTTAAAATATCTATTTTATTTAATTTTCTTACAAAGTTATTTGAAACAAGGAAAGTGTGATAACATGCTTTAGAAAATTTAATAAACATTTTTGTTTTTGAACGTAGGATGTAAAAGCTATAGTTACACATTCAATTCATAGTGCAATTCATTCAATTGGAGGGATTCAAGTGCTTTTCCCACTTTTTGCACAACTAGACAACCGGCAGCTCAATGACAGTCAAGTGGAAACCACTGTCTGGTAAGTCTTCTTTCAATATGTAACTTATGGTATCTTTTAATTGTTTAGATTATGCATGGTGCCCTTGGTGCTATGTAAATATATTACAATACTGATTTTTATTCTTAAAATGCTAATAACGTTTCTTTAGGATTAAGGCAGATATATTTACGCAAAGTAAAAAAAGTTGACAGGTTTTCTAACCACAAAGGAGTGACTTCCTTGATAAGAAATAAAAAAATTCTTACTAGGTATAGCATAGTGATTATAATATGAAGTAGGAAAAGTGTCAGTCCTGGCCTTTCACTTTGCAAATGAATGCTCATTGTTTGAATTGTTGGTGAAATCCCGTCAGAATTACTAGGGTAAAGTTTATTCTCAAGAATAGTATTTAATAACAGTTATATAATTTATATCCTAAATATTAGTAGTATTCTATAATGCTCGTATCATAATACTAGCACAATATTAATTGAAATTAGCTTTTTTTCTTATGTTTGAGAACCTAAATCTAACCAGTGGCATATCCATGTTTTATATATTCAGAATTTTCTAATTAGATTTATTTCAAGTGCAATTTTTATAGCTTCTTTTTCTTAAATTAAAAAAATACCTCATGTATTAAATTCCAATTTAACCTTTTCCTTAGAATCATTTATGGCATAAGTTAAATGTGAATTACACAAATAGATTAACTATTTCTGTATATGTTTGGAGAATTTAAAGGGAAAGTTATGTAAGTAAACATTAATTTAGTTTACTAAATAGTAACATAGAAATGCTTCATTAATAAGTACACATATACATGAGATTCTTTATGGATCATCCAATTTTGAATTGATAGAAAAACTAGTGAATGAAATTAAGATGAGAAAAATTTAAAGTTCTTGAAATGTAAAATGATTTTTCATATTAATTATTTAAATTATCTATTAACAAACTTCTGTCTTAATATTGCTCATAATATTGTCCCTGTATTGGGACCATCTTTATGTAAATTATGAATCTAAATATAAATCTGACCTGTATATTTACATAACTCAGCTCTCAGCCATGGGTCATGCTTTTTTTCTTTTTTTTTAAATATCAGTATAATGTAATGGTTAGCATTTGATATGAAATGAATCTGGAGGCCATGTCCTTCTGAGATATTACTTTGTTATGAGATATTCAGTCATTTTTTTGGGAGGCAGATCAGCTTAGTTGAAAAATGAAACTTTAAATCCCAGTCCTAATTTAAATGCAAATGTTTTCTTTATCATCTAAGTGAACTAGCACACATTATGATCAGTAATTTAAAACCTAGTAAGTACTATGAAAAGAAGTTAGAGGTGAAATAGCAATTAGAAAACTTTGCATGTAATTTAAATGTATCTTATGAATTAATATTATGTCCATAATTATTTTAACCTAAAATATAGTGATTTGCTTCATGCAGAAATATTAGAAAGATTATGCAGTTTGAATGTTATACCTGAAATGATTATAATAATTTTATATTATTGAATAGTTATAAAATCTCAGTGCTAAAACTATAGTTAACAGGTATCCGGTCCATTCATCCAAGGACCAGGACCAAGGACATGATTATTTGTCATATCCTGTTTTCAAAACTCATTTTAGTGTTTATATTATATTTTTATATTTAAATTATATTTATTTTATAACAGATAAAAGGCAGTATAAAGGATCAGCTTTCTGATTTTCATTTGGATTTGTTTTTAGTCCTTTTATATCATTCATGTTAATTTTTTCATGCAATAACTTTAATTTTTTCAGTGATATATATGTTCTTAGTTTATGGCCAATTAAAAAAGTATAATAAGAAATGTATCACTTTCCATTTCAGTAATAATACATACCTATTTTGGGTATGTATTTCAACCCTCCCCTGTGGTTCACTTATGTGCTATTTTGAATTCTTATCTAATAGTTTTTCATTATTTACTTCAAAGCTCTTGATGTCTGAGGTTGGCTTTTGGACATTTGTGTGTATCAGTAATGCAATCTTTTGTTATATTTAAAGTTTGGAGGGCCACCATTTTGGTGGTGATACTTTCAGTTTTTAAAATGTTGAAAAAAATTTTTAAATGGAACATACTCCTCTACTTGAAGAACATAAATTGTTAGCTTTAGGGCAAGGATTGATAGAATTCCTTAATTTTGGGTTTTATCTTAAATTCATATATATGAATGAGAATTTAAAGTAGGATATGTTATCTTATTTAGTTAACTTTAAACTTCTAGATGAATAGGGATGGCTTTCCATAAGGTGCCAGTGGTAAAGAACCCACCTGCCAATGCGGGAGACTTAAAGAGATGTGGGTTCTATCCTTAAGTTGGGACGATCCCCTGGAGGAGGGCATGGCAACCTACTCCAGTATTCCTGCCTGGAGAATCCCATGGACAGAGGTTCCCGGCTGGCTACAGGCCGTAGCATCACACAGAGTTGGACATGACTGAAATGACTTAGCACACATGCAGGCACACACAGATGGATGCGAATCAATTTGAACTTTAAAAATCTTCAACAAAACTTTATATATGCCTCTTTTAGAAAATGTTTTTTGTATAATAAATATATGCCCCAAATTGCAATATTGTCTAATTCTTGACTACTTTTTGGAGAAATTGAGCTAAGCTCTGAAATAAGTTAATCTTTTGCCTTTTATGTTTCAAGCTAAAACATCTTAGTTTCATGCACTTTCCTCCACTCAGTAGCCTGGTTTATGAAGCATTTTATTATTTATATAGGCCTCACTTCTATTGACACTGTAATTTATTATTGTTCTAATCATTGATGAGTTTTACTGTATATATTGAGGTCTTAATATTAAAATAATTTATTGAAGAAATTATTTTCTAGAGCCTTTAAAAATAGGCTTTGTATGTACAGGAGAAATTTTATGACTTTGTTTTATCATGAAGGCTACATATTATAGTTGTTAACTAGTGTGGACATTCAGGTTAGAAAAACTTGAATTCAAACCCCAAGTTTATTTATTATTATTGCCATCTGACAAAAAATGGTCCACTGGAAAAGGGAATGGCAAACCACTCCAATATTCTTGCCTCAAGAACTCCATGATCAGTATGAAAGGGCAAAAAGATATGACATTGGAAGATGAGCCCCCCAGGTTGACAGGTGTCCAGTATGCTACTGGGTGAGGTTAGAGAAATAGCTCCAAAAATAAGGAAGAGGCTGCGCAGAAGTGGAAATGATACTCAGTTGTGGCTGTGTCTGGTAGTGAAAGTAAGGTCTGATGCTGTGAAGAATAATATTTCATAGGAACCTGGACTGTTAGGTCCATGAATCAGGGTAAATTGGATGTGATTAAGGAGGAGACAGAGAAGCCTGGTGGGCTACAGTTTGTAGGGTGGCAAAGGGTTGGACCCGACTGAAGCAATTGAGCATACAGCATACAAGTAGGAGATGGAAAGAGCGAACATCTACATGTTAGAAATCAGTGAATTAAAATGGAACAGAATGGACAAATTTAATTCAGATGACCATTATATCTACTACTGTGAGCAAGAATCCCGTAGAAGACATGGAGTACCCTCATGTCAACAAAGAGTCCAAAATGCAGTACTTGGGTGCAATCTCAAAAATGACAAATGCTCTTGGTTCTCTCGATTTGTTTCAAAGGCAAACCGTGCAGCATCATAGTAATCCAAGTCTCTGCCCCAACCACAGAGGCTGAAGGAGCTGAAGTTGAACAGCTCTTTAAAGACCAGAAGACCTTCTAGAACTAACATCAAAAAAGATGTCCATTTAATTATAGGGAGTTAGAATGCAAAAATATGCAGTCAAAGAGATACCTGGAGTAACAGACAGGCTTGGCCTTGGACTACAAAATGAAGCAGGACAAATGCTAACAAGAGTTTTGCCAAGAGAACACATTGGTCATAGCAAACACCCTGTTCCAATAGCAAAACGGATGATTCTACACAGGAACGTCACCAGATGGTCAAATACTGAAATCAGATTATGTTCTTTGCAGTCAGAGATGGAGAAGCTCTATACAGTCAGCAAAACAAGACCTGGAAGTGACTGTGGCTCACATCATCAGCTCCTTATTGCAAATTTCAGGCTTAAATTGAAGAAAGTAGGGGAAACCTCCAGTGTATGACCTAAATCAAATCACTTATGATTATACAGTGGAGGTGACAAGTAGATTCAAGGGATTAGATCTGGCAGACAGAGTGCCTGAAAAACTATGGACAGAGGTTCATAGCATTGTACAGGAGGTGGTGACCTAAACCATCCCCAAGAAAAAGAAATGCAGGAGGGCAAAATGGTTGTCTGAGGAGGCCTTACAAATAGAAAGAAGAGAAGTGAAAGGCAAAAGAGAAAGGCAAAGATATACCTAACTGAAGAGAGTTCCAGAGACCAGCAAGGAAAGAGAAGAAAGCCTTCTTAAGTGAACAGTATAAAGAAATAGAGGAAAACAACAGAATGGGAGAGACTAGAGAGCTCTTCAGGAAAATTGGAGATACTGAAGGGACACTTCATGCAAAGATAGGCACAATAAAGGACAGAAACAGCAAAGACCTAACAGGAGCAGAAGAGATTAAGAAGAGGTGGCAAGAATACTCAGAACTATACCAAAAGGTCTTACTGGATAGCCAAGACAGTGTGGTCACTCACCCAGAGCCAGCCATCCTAGAGTGTGAAGTCAGATGGGCCTTTGAAAACATTACTCGAACAAAGTTAGTGAAAGTGATGGAATTCCAGCTGAGCTATTTCAAATCCTAAAAGATGATGCTGTTAAAGTGCTGCACTCAATATGCCAGCAAATCTGGAAAATTCAGCAGTGGCCACAGGACTGGAGAAGATCAGTGGAGACGATTTCATTCTAATCCCAAAGAAAGGCAGTGCCAAAGAATTCAAACTATTGTATACAATTGTGGTAATCTCACATGTGTGCAAGGTGATGCTCAAAATCATTCAAGCTAGGCTTCAATAGTACATGAACCAGGATCTTCCAGCTGTAAAAGCTGAATTTACAAAAGTCAGA